TTTTATATCAATTTCTCGAGACAGGAACATCAGATATAACTTTCATGGGTCGCGATCAAAAGCTAAAGTGATTAGCTTTCAGCCTATACCCCCTTTCATTTTTCCTTTACTGTCCCTTGAAGTAACCTTTAGAGAGTCCTCCTGCTCCTGCGAAAATATCAAGGGTACGTAGTGGCTTGAACGGTGTAGGTACAGGATCAGGAAATATTAAAGGAATCTTCTTCTTACTTGCCTCGCTCTCCGTCAACTCAGAAATCTTCCCTGTTCTAAAATACATGTAGGTTGTCTTCCTGTCCACTTTCGAGACGGGTACAACACTTGGGCAAATATCTGACTTGAGGATTGTGATTTTTTTGTTATGACTGGATAATCATTTTGTTGAGCAATTATGATTGAGATGTTACTGTTGTTATAGCATTGTCAAAATTATTCTGAAATTGGCGGCTCGGAAACATTTCTAAACCCCATGAAAATCTTTAATTAAATATCTAAATAGGAAATGAATAAGATTAAAGGGACAGTAAAGGAAAAATGAAAGGGGGTATAGGCTGAAAGCTAATCACTTTAGCTTTTAGGCCACATGATTAATTATATACAAAATGTACAAAATTGATAGGAGGGGGGGTCCAAAACTCATTCTCTAGGACGGACCCGAACGCTTTTTAGATCCTCCTCTCCCCCCCCCCTCTCATAATAACTTTGTACATGATCAAAAAATCGTTCGATAAGAAAAACCTAACGTACTCCATGAATCACGAAATTTAAAGGTCAGAAAATAAACAGGAACCGCCATATAAAGCTTTAGATATTTTTAAAAAACCTCTATGAACAATAACAGACGGTACATGTGACCTTAAAAAATTCAGTGAATACAATTATAGTCTCAGTATTACCATTCAAGTCAAATGAAGTTTAATTTAAACTTTGCTATCTTGTGTACGGGTTTATAATTTGGTATGGTAAAACCAGCTGTCCTTCTCAAGTTTGCAATCGCGTCGCCGATATATTTATCACAAAAAAATATTTATTGTAATAAAATTTCCCGTAATCGTAAAAAATGAGACTATAATGCAATATTTTTTTCTTGAATCTTGATATAGCGTCTACGGTCTATTCTAAAATATCTCTGCACACTTGATTGATTGATTGAGTGCAGGTCGTCTTTGTTGTGAAAATCCACAAAATGCGACGATCCAACACTAAATCAATTATATCTATTAAAATCAAAATAAAAGTTATGAAATTATAATTGAAGAAAATTAAAGTAAAGATTAGCTTTCTCTGGGATATCTTCGTTTTCAGATTGGTTGCTGTATTTCTGAACATGGCCTGTTCAAACCTACTATTTCTATATGAAATTGTATATATATGCATTTTCGTACAAATTTAAAACAGCTTTATATTAATTCTCGAGTCAGGAACTTCAGATACGCGTCTCAAGGGTCTCGATTAAAAGCTAAAGTGATTAGCTTTCAGCCTATACCCCCTTTCATTTTTCCTTTACTGTCCCTTTAAGTAAATTCATTTTAAGGAAAATACAAAAAGAGGCATTATATTATATATCATCTTTTAATATAAATGCATCGCACTCGCAGACAAATTTCCATTCCTTTGTAAAATATTTATATAATTATATATTCAGTCTGAAACCGATTAAAAGGGGCGGGATTAAATAAATTGTTGCATACCAAACAAACAGCTTTTTATAAAGGAATGCAGCTTTAAGTGTGGAAAATGTAGAAAAATAAAAAATCCTTCAACCCCCCCCCCCCCAAAAAATAAACAACTAATTATTGGAAGTTAACATTCAATAAATTAAACTGTGTAGCTTAAAAGTTATAAAACCTGTTGTTATATTTCGACATAACGAAGAACCGGTGTTGATCTCGGTAACTCCAGCTCTCCAGTTTCTCCTGGTCGCTGCCGTATACAACAATGGGTTGACAGGTAAAGATCAAGATCTTGCGGAGCTAAACATTTTTTAATACATTTTCAGTCTACATCTAGCTTTCAGAGGAGCAACAACTAGGTCTTGCTAGGGGCTTCTAATAGTATTCAGAGATTCAGGATGAGAGGGAGAGAACTAACTTTAACCAGGGGTGTATATCCCCCGTATACACCCCTGCACACAAATGGAACACAAAAGAATAAGAGTTTCAAATCTTCATTAAAGTTTCATCTTTAAATGATAAATAATTCCTCTAAAATTAAAAATATTTGAATATAATTATAAATTAGACCTTTTTTAGTACTATTTTTCCAGTGTAAATCTCGTTGTATTGCGGTTTCTTTATTATTGAGGATAGAAGTATTGTTTATATTAAATACGAATACTAATGAATTATGAAAGATACCTTTGACTTTTCAATCCAAATTTCTTCAGTCGAAACATAAAGTTCCGATATGGGTTTTCGCCTCGACTCTTCATGTGACATCTTTGTATTCTCAGGTCTATGGAAAATAATACAATCAAAAATTAAGTTATTATTGTTATTTTGCTGTGAATATGAGTGAATTTCCTTCAAAAATGTTCACTTTATATTTCATATTATTATTTTTGAGTTATTAGTCTTATCTAATTAATTACCATTAATCCAATCTAATTAAATCAGTCAACAACATAACAATAATTTTTACCTGTACAGAACACAGATTTGAATACGCTCTTTTCCTATTGCCCTTAAAAATAATAAATAGTAGATATGTGAACAATTTCATAATTTTATGAAAATAACATATTTCAATTCAAAAAATGAATGGCATTTGTTTTATTTGGGAATTTGAAAAATATAAAAATAAAATAATTGTTAATATATTTTTCTGTTCAATAGACTGATGCAGTTTAGCAGTTTACCTGACTTGAACAATGATTAAAGGATTGAAGGTGTTTTGCTTGCGCGGATATACAGATTTAGTTCGGTACACGACTGCAGGGAGTTCTACAGCATCACCGTAGAAATATTCCAAGCTAAAAAACACAAGAACCATTAAAACCTCAATTTTTAAAAAAAAGTAGGGGGTGGAGAATGCAGGGTCGCCATGAGCCCCGCTAAATGACCTCTGGAGCCCCTTGATACACAGAATGACCTTCATTTCCAGCGAAACCGTCTCCATGCCCCTCTCTATGTCTCCAAGCCTCCGCCTTTCTTTCTCCACGCCTCGCTTTTTAGTCTCCCAAAAAATATTTGGCTTTTAAATCCACAAATAATCTCAACGTGACCAAATAGTTTTTGATACATAATCAAGTTGTATTAAAAAGTCTATTTTAATTGTTATGATAACTTTTATTTTTGTTTTCTAAATTTTACAAATTCTTATACTTGTAATATTGCATTTTTATATTAAGATAGAGAAATTCTTTATTATTTTACAGGTGTATCATGTATGAATTAAAATCAGTCTATGATCACCAATTCACAAAACACATAACTTTTTGAATTTGTGCTTTGACCGTATGCTTTGTGTAAACTTTTGAGAAGAAAACAAGTCATGATCAATTGAATGAATTAATGTTTGAAATTTGTAGATTAAACGATTCTTTAAACTATTGTAGATTCTATTATGAAGATTTATAATTTGATTTTTGGTTGGTTCAGCCATAAAAGGTAAACAAAAAATAAAAACTGCAAGTGGAGATCAAAATGCAAGGAGCGAAACGACAGGATGGCATAAGCTTGGGTACGTATCAAGAGGCATGAAGGTGGTTCCACAGGGCTTGGAGGTCAATCTGCGTGTCAGGAGGCTCCGGAGGTCATTTTGCAGGGACTCATAGCGGCTCTACACCACCTCCTAAATGGAAATTAGGAGGCAGAAAAAAGTAAGAGCAATGCATTTTACATACAGATTAAAAAGACTGATTTCACAATTTCAATTCATTAAGTGGCATGTCCGATTCACAACAGTACCCTTAAAGCTTAGTCTGATCATGAATGATTCAAGTTTATCTATTTCAAACTCGTAAGAAATCATTTTCATATAATTTTCAATTGTAGTTACCCTAAAAATATCTTTTTCATATGAAGTTTTGTCTATCAAAGTAACAACCGCATTTATACTGCAGAAACAATATAAGGATAAAAATACAACATCTTCCACATTATTTATTAAATAAAGGTTAATGAGTAAAAATCATTAATGACGATTGTCCATTAAAGTCAATTTGAAAATTCCTGTTGATTTATCAAATAAATCTTACTTTAGCAGCTTCCTTGCTGTATCCTCGAGATAAATAAAGTCATTTATCTTAATGATCAGATCTCCTATCTCAAGATGAAGACCTCCTTGCCGCAGCGTAAGAAGATCTGGGAGACCAAGATCCGAAGCAGATTTACAATAACACGTGGGATTTATCTGAATAAAATGAACGTTGCAAATTGTTAGTTCATAAATGACATTTTAAAATCGATGAAAAGATCATATCTTGAGAGACTAGCAGAAAAACTGTTGACAATTCGTACCCTACAACCTCCGACGTGCATATAAAAGAAGTGTTCGTTTTCTTGAAAAATTATTCCACCCCTCCCTTCTCTCATAAGTTCTTCGGCTCATTTGGGAAACATTAATGATATTATTTAGAAATAGGTGATTTTTTTGGAAAATGTGTCTAGTTTTATATTTGTGTTACCCTTTTTCATCCAAAACTTATACCGCCCCCGCCCCGGATGTAATTCTTAAAAAATATACATCCCTTAAATGCAATTTACAGTCAACAAATTTAAAGGAGAGGCTGCCAAATGCGCATTTCATATATTTAAAAGTAAATGAAAATATAATAGTATAATTTGATATTATTATTATTAATTGTTAAATGCTAAACCTGCAAAAAATTTTAAAATCAGTTGGCTTAAAAAAAAGAAGATACCTCCTCGTTGTTAGGATATTCGAATCTGCCAAATACTGGATCATGAATATATCTCCAGTAAACTCCTTCTCTACTCAGCTTCAACCCATCCTTACTAGTTCTGCAAACATAAAAAGTACTTAAATTTTCAAATGGTTTCCCAATTTTATCTTATTTAATTGTGGAAATTTTGGAACAAAAAAGAGGCGCATTCTTTCTTTTTTGATAATTTTATTTTCTTAAATAAATGTAACCTCACCTCACTTGGTAACAAATAATTTGCCCATATACAATATTTCTATAATACCTGTGATGAACATCAACTATTTTGGTAATAAGATTCATTTCGAATACATCGCACATCTTGATCTTGAAGAGTTCCTTGGAGTTCCTGGTGTTCCCCAGGAGCGTATTGTCCCCCTCTAGAGCCTGGGTGTGCACCCAGATCTCCTTGTTTTTCTTGAATATATCGATGACCTGTCCTACAGCTGTAACCCCCTTCAGCACTAGAAAATAGTTGGGGTTATTTATTTCAAATAAGAGAAACGAAAATAAGAGATAAAAAATTATAATAAAATATTTTTTTTTGGCTCGATTGTCTATCTATTTGAGTCTATTAAACGTCAAAACTGATAAGCCGGCCACGCCCAATTTTCTGTGTTTTCGCACATGACCCCGAGGAATGTGCGTACATTTAATTTTGGAAATCCACCATTTGAAGCAAAAAAAAATCCACGAAATTGTTATTAAACATAACCAAACCAAAATATACTTTAAAAAGAAGTACGGCATAAAGTGCCATACGCACTGCTGCTGAAAATGGACCATCAGGTTTCAAGTCAAAACACCTAAACTTTATCTTTAAAATATGTAAATATACATACAGTCTACTGAGTTACCTCAATTTTCTGAAAATGGCACCTAGGGAATTTTCCGGAAATTCATTTTTAAGATAACTCAGAAATCAAGTGCATTTACAGGTCTAAAATCTAACGTAAATTTTGTTCAGATTTAAATATGCGTCTCCTGGTTTTAATTGCGATATTTTTTTTAACTGTTAATGGCAGGGTCCTCAAATTTTTGTAACTTTTCATGAACATAAGACATATTGTAGTAAAAAATCAAAGTTCTAAGTCAACTGCCTGACTGACTAGATACTGCCTGAAAAAGTCTTTTTGATGTGATTGTTAAGGATTTCACCCTTATTCAGTCATACTAAATAATAATAATAAACGATTTAAAAAATATCAAACAAAAAATTCCAGAACAAGCTTATTTAGACTTAAAAGTGGATTTACTCGAAATTCTCAAGGTGGCATTTCTTGAAAATTGAGATTATAATTCAGTAGACTCATATTAATATATTTCAAAGAAAAAATTGAGGTGTTTTAACTTGAAACCTGATGGTCCATTTTCCATTTTCAGCAGTTAAAAAATAAAAGGGAAGCTATATTTACCAAATTGTATAAAGGAACTAGGGTAGACTGTATACTTAAGATCTCCGTCTTCGTCTAATAGCTCCGCGAACTGATAGTAAACTTTGTCTGGAAAAAAATCTAATTTGAGAAAGAAGGAGAAAGAGAAGCACACACACGTATTGACCAACACTGAGTAATTATTTAGACTAGAATATACCCAGATTCATTTTGTAAATATTTAGACGGACTTTAAATTAGGATTGAAGTTGATATTACAGATTGGTCAAAATAATTACTGCACTTTTCAGATACTGCCTCCCCCCCCCCCCCCCCCCCCCCCCCCCCGGCAGACTTAGATGATAAAATAGGTTAAAATAGGCCAAAACAGAATAAACTGTAAACTATTATGTACCAAGTAAATTGATTGTTTTAATACAAATAAACTTACCATCCTTTACCATGAGGGATGGACCAGGTTTAACTGTCAAGCTACTGGTTTCATCGTCTTCAGAGCTGTCTACCGACCTAAAAACAATATATGCTGAAACCACTGCAGAGCTGTCTACCCGAACTAGAAACAATTACTTTTAGAACCAATGCAGAGCTGTCTACAAACCTAGAAAACAATATTTATTTAAACCACTACAGAGCTGTCTACTGACCTAGAAAACAATATAATTTTAAGCCCCTGCAGAGCTGTCTACCCGAACTAGAAAACAATTAATTTTAGAACCAATGCAGAGCTGTCTACTGACCTAGAAAACAATATATTTTTGAACCACTGCAGAGCTGTCTACTGACCTAGAAACCATGTATTTTTAAACCACTGCAGAGCTGTCTACCGACCAAGAAACTATTCATTTTTAAACCACGTAGAGCTGTCTACCGACCTAGAAAACAATATATTTTCAAACCACTGCAGAGCTGTCTACCGACCTAGAAAGTAGAAACTATTAATTATTGAACCACTGCAGAGCTGTATACCGACCTAGAAACAATGTATTTTTAAACCACTGCAGAGATGTTTAGTGTTTAGCGACCTAGAAAAAATTTACTTTTTAAACAGGTTTTGTTGATTTGATTCGTTATGCATCAAGCAGTTGTCCGTGTATTGTGCCATAGAGCAGCCTTCAGGACTAAATTAATTCCTCTTAGATATCGCTTGGTGGTCGTTCACTATGGTGATAACCTGAGTAGAGGAAGTAAGTACTTATCCATCAAATTCAAAAGTCATCACGGTGGTTGTCGAAATCAAGCACTGTAGATTAATAGTACTACTTCATACAAAATTTTTATCTCAGAATAAAAAACTAATGTTCTAGAAATATTCTACATTAATAACAAAAACTCAGTAACTGGAAGACGACCATTACCTGAATTTATGAGTTTATAAAAGACACATAAATTGAGCAATGTGCAAACTGGCACACACCATTTACTTTATAATTGATGTTTAAACTACTAGTAAAACTATTTGCTTTGTAACAACATCGTATACACGTCAAAAATTGCTTTAATGTCGTCTTCCTATTCCGTAGATTTTAGGGTTCTCACTGTCTAAAATCGAATTTCTTTTATTTAACGATTATTTCATGGGTGTAAGTATTCCAGAATCCCTTCTCACCCCCCTAACCCTGAGTTTGAGTAATAATTTTCAATTCCCGAGATAATTACACTTCACAAAATTCTTTCCTTTCGACCAAACATGCGGGAAAAAACTGACCTTCTTCTTGCTACCTCCCCGGGTTCTGGATTAATGAGGATCTCCTCTTTGAAGATATCTTCAAACAGCCTCGACACTAGATACATCATAATTCAAGTTTTAATATTGTGAAGCGGTTTACTAAAAATACATGGACATTGGACAGTCGCCTCAATTTCAAGCAAACCTTCACTTACATTTTTTTTCATAATAATGCCTTTTACCTTTATCCGTGCAACAATGAGGAAATTGAGTAAGATATCGTAGTGTTTTATCTGTTAAAGTCAATTTTCAGGGAGAAAAACAAGGTAATTTTTATAATTTTGCTTAGACGATGGTTTGAATATATCAACTTGCATTTTAACTTATTATTAAGGGTTTACCTAGTTTAGTAGCAAACAAGGGCTGATGTTCTTCTTTAACCGGCTCCTTCGTTATCCTGCCTTTCGTCCTTTCTCCAGATTCAACCTTCTTACCACTAAATACAATATTCCATACAACAAGACTTTAAATTCTCCTTAAAAGTACTTTTATAATTTATTTCCAGTAGGCATGTATCCTTTCAGGTAAAGTTCACAACTTCACAGTAAAAGCAGATTTTTAAAAAATACCTAAAGTTAATTCCAATCGATTTGAGATCAAATATTGGTCTCAACATATTCATACCAGAGCCCGCGATTTGAAAGCTTCGGCCCGAGCCGTAATTCCTTAAACCCGACTCTAAAACCCAATCTTCGACCCAACTCTAACAACAGCTTGTGTCACGTGATTGACAGCTGAAAGATCTTCGGCTCGACTTAAGGAGTTAGGCCCAATGAAAATAAAACCGACCTTGGTTGGTTTTAGAGGAGAATAATGCTCAATTTTGGGTCTTGTTCTAATAAAAACCCGGAATGCGCCAATTCTTACCATGAAAATCCGACAAATAGAATATTAAACCGGTTTTTTGAATTCAACTCTGTGGAAAATAAGATGCAGCTTGAATCCGAAAGCTCAAGCCGTAAATAAGGTCCAACGACATAGACCCGAGCCGTATTTCCCCGAATTTTTTAAATCGCGGGCTCAGGTAAAGAGAGAAGGATTGCGAATTAGAAAACAAAAAATAGAATGTTTTTGGGGGAAAATATCCAATCCTGCGTAAGGCCAAAAATATATAAATAATCTACTTCAAATCTTGATATCCTGCCTACTCAAGGATATGTAAAGCAGCTGGGATATCAGTAAGTATATATATCTACATGAAATCTTGATATCCTGCCTGCTCAAGGATATGTCTAGCTGCTAGGATATCAGTAAAGTAGATATCATCTACCTGAAATCTTGATATACTGCCTACTCAAGGATATGTCTAGCTGCTGGGATATCATTAAAGGATATATTATCTACCTGAAATCCTAATATCCTGTCTATTCAAGAATATGTTTAGCTTCAGGGATATCAATGAAGGATATATTATATACCTGAAATCTTGATATCCTGTCTATTCAAGAATATGTTTAGCTTCAGGGATATCAAAGAAGGATATATTATCTACCTGAAATCTTGATATCCTGCCTGTTCAAGGATATGTCTAGCTGCTGGGATATCAGTAAATGAAAGATTATCATCATCATCCACCTCTGAACATAAATATGTTAATCCTAATACCAGGTTACTGTCCAGTATCCTACAAAGGAAGGTCCACCTTGATTCAGAGATGTAAAATTTTATTTATGATTTTTGATGAATTTGGGTTAAGAAAAAAAAGTTGGACATGAAAAGGCAAGATAATTAATCTTTTAATACTTTTCCCAAAATATTCATTGATTTCCTCCCTAAAAAGTCCGAAAAGATGATTTTCAAAGAGAGAGGGGATAATTTTCAAAGAAAATATACACCCATTGCTAGATTTTACTTTTTCTACACGTCTTACCCAAAATGGAAACAACATCTTTCTTCACCGTTTTTATAAAATTGCATTGTAAAAATCGTTTGTATTACAATATAGTTAAGATTGTCACAATAACAAATCCAAAAATAATTTTTTTTAATTTTAGCCAGATTTATGTCTGCCTTATTCATCAACAGGCATTGAAAATATTTGTCAGAGGGAAAATCTGAGGAGATGGGAAAATGATATTAATCCCTCAGCTAATCTTAAAAAGTTATTATACTTGGCATTAACCTGCGTTATGATAGGAGACGAGATGATCTGCAACCAGAGAAGCATAGTTAGTAAAATCATCCACGCTGTAAACAGGGTCTAAATAACAAAAATTGTAGAAGAAAAAAATATTAATAGTCATAAAAAAACCTGTATACATAAAAATCGTGTGCATAAAACTTTTTGATTATCAAACAGTGATACACATAACAGTTCCAGTTAATTTGTTAAAAAATGGCCGTTTTTATCCGAATTAACGTAAACACTCTGTTAATGAAAAAAACACAAACCTTCAAAAACTTCTATTTTTAAAAATCACTTTATACCATGTAATCTTAAAATTATTGTTACCGATCTTGATTTCCGTTTGATCAAAAAAATGTCAATAGTTTTTGTTAGAAATGACCTCTGTAATTAAGAATGTTTACCGATCTTGGATCCCTCCCAGTCTGTAAGCTCGGCAATCTCCTCAACCAACTCCTCAAACTCAAGCTGATTCTCATCATTGAAAGCAGATTCAATTCTAAACATAGGGAATTAGAATTAATCCGATTCTTCTCCCCACATGACCACGTAGAAGTTCCCATGCTAGGCAGATTCAATTCTAAATATCGGGAATTAGATTTAATTTTATTCCTCTTCCCCTCATAACCGCGTAGAGGGTCCCATGCTAAGCAGATTCAATTCTAAATATCGAGAATTAGATTTAATCTTATTCCTCTTCCCCTCATGATTTTTACAGGAAAGAAATTCTAAAATAAGTTTACTATATCTTTATCTCTATTCATAAAACACCATTGATGTTTAATAAACCTGAGACCGAAAAAGGATTTAAGCCATCGTTTAAATTTAAGCTGCGGCTCAAATATGGTTGGTTCCACTTAAATTTGTATTAAATTTTTCAAGATTTAAGCCGGCGGTCATTAAAACCGGTTTTGGGGGATTTGAGACATGGCTTAAATTCATTAAATTCGAACACTGAATTATTTACTATATACAAAAACTTACTTTTTTATGATGATATGGCCGAAAAGAGCTTCACGTCTATACTCTGAAAAATATTTTTTTCCCATTTGTTATTAATTATAATTCTTAAATATTTTATAATACATTGTTAACCTTGCAAGAACATTCTTTTAAAGTTATCTAAAATTACTGAACTTAAGTTATAACCCAGAAACAATTGAAGGCTTTTCTTGAATAAAAGGTGGTCATTTTTAGTACGTACAACTTACAACTTCTACGGTGATAACCAGAAAACTATGAAATAGGAAGACGACTTTATAACAATGCTTAAGTATATTTGAGGTTGTTACAACGCAATTAGTCTTAAACTTAAAACTTAAAAATCACTAATTAAATGAAAGGGGTCCGTTTTCACAGCTAAATTGCATTGTCCTATGCTCATTAAACTATTTTAAGTCATAACGCGAGTCAAAAAGTCGTCTTCCTATTCTTATATATGAGTACCTGAATAGATGGCTGTGTATACGGAGCTGGGATTTTTCAAGGAATAGAGAACCTTCTCATCTCCAACCTGGGTCTCCAGGATAATCTGGAACCCCAGACTAAACACAATTATTTAAAAATAAAATTAGAAAAACATTGTAACAACAGGGGTATACAGCGAGAACCATAAAACTGTGGAATAGTTAATGGAAAATGAAGCAATTTTATGTGAATTTGATTTTGTTACCAATAGATTGAAAATCAACTTATTTTGTAAAATGGGTCGTGTACCACTGCACAATTGCTGTTTTTCATGTTCATTTACTATATCACATCATAATTTTAGTCAACAGTCATCTTCCTTGTACGCATTTTTTTGCGTCCTACTGTACATTTTTTAGGCGGGACAGGATTTTAAATCTTACAACTTGAAAACCGGGACTTTATTTTATCAATTGGGGCGATAAAATCCTCTCCTTTAACTGAAATGTTTGTTGAACTGTTTTTATGGAAGAAAATTATTGAAATCAACCAAATCGGTCGTTTTCATCGTTCACTTTTCCCATTATTTAATGTTTTTACATTTTTACATCGACTTTACCACGTATAATAATTGATATTAGATATATTATATTAAGAATATTTTAGTTAGACACGTAAATAACGTTTAATAAATACTAGCTAAAGGGCCGGCGTTGCCCGTGAAATTTTTTTTTAGCCTATAACACCCCCCGGCCACCCCTGAGTGTCCACAAAAAAAATTCAGCCCAATCGGTCCACCCGTTTGGCCGGCTATAGGCAACATATATATATACGAATGCCTTGTTTTATAATATAGGAAAAAAACAATCTTGATCAAACTGACCTATGGTTTATATAGTGAGCATAGATCTTATTCGACATAGTCATAACTCCCTCCGACTCGTAATCTAAACACATTTTAAGAAAATATTAGGTAAAATAATTTGTAAAACATTCATAACTAGACTTTAAGGAAGCGTCGAGCCTAAGGGTGATTGATTTGTGACTTTTTTTAATATCGGAGAAATCACCATAAGGCCTCAAAAAGTATTATTAAAATTTCACGAGACACATCATTTTCTTCAAAATACGCTAAATTTAGATTCGAAAACTATTTTAGAAAATATAAAGAACCCGTAACAAGTAAGACATTTTGTAATATCTCTATAAATATTAATAGCAGCCGGTTGTATTTTTGAATGTAGACTCATATAGTTGCCTAGGAGCAGGAAATGAAGTCCGATTGTCAAAATCTCTTTCCGGAGACTTGGAACCTCTGAAAAGTGACCTTCGTCGGCTCCGATTTTATATCTCCGGCCTCGTTGGACATAATTAGCCCAATTTTTTAATATATATTTCCAATAACCCGTAGAATACGCTAAAAAAAAGAACAAAAATTCCTTAAGTTTTTGATGTCAAAACAGGGTGTCAAAAATTGCCTTTTTTGATTTTTTTTTGAAATGCAAAAAGTGACAAGTTCTGATCAAAAATATAAAAGCCAAAGAAAAGAGAAAATATTAATTAAATTATTATCTAAAACATTCTTAAGGTTAAATATTTCTCTTTCGGGACACATGGTTTTAGTAATTTTTTATTTACCCATAATTAAGTTAATTTAATTTAAATTATTGTAATTTTTAACAAGTAAAAAAAGTTTATCAGGGAGGCCTAATTTATAAACGTTTTACTAGTGGCCCTGATTCCAGCCTCCTGACACCAACAACTCTAACTAAACATAAAAGTCAGGTTGACCCCAACGAACATTAAAATGAACTGGACTTTTAATCACTTAGGGTTTAGCCCTGTTGACACCCTGTTTTGGCATAAAAAACTTGAGGAATTTTTTCTCTGTTTTTTAGTTTATTCTGGGGGTCATTGGGAGTATATATTAAAAAAATTGGGCTGTTTATTTCCAACAAGGCCGGAGATAAAAAATCGGAGCCGACGGAGGTCACTTTTCAGAGGTTCCAAGTCTCCGGAAAGAGATATCGACAATCTGACTTTATCTCCTGCTCCTAGGCAATAATATAGTTTTAAATTTAAATTATAACCAGCCACCATCTAAATTAGGGAGGAAAATGCCAAAAAAAAAATTTTATTTGTAAAAAAAAAAATAACACCTCGTAGCCCCCCCCCAAAAAATAATTTAAAAAATTTTTTTTTCATCAATGTGTTAGATAATAATTTAAATAATATTTTCTCTTTTCTTTGGCTCCTATATTTTTGATCAGAACTTGTCACTTTTTGCATTTCAAAAAAATCAAAAAAAGGCAATTTTGGACACCCTGTTTTGACATCAAAAACTTAAGGAATTTTTTTCTTATTTTTTTTAGCGTATTCTAGGGGAAATTTGGCTATTTATGTCCAACGAGGCCGGAGATAAAAAAATCGGAGCCGACGGAGGTCACTTTTCAGAGGTTCCAAGTCTCCGGAAAGAGATTTTGACAATCGGACTTCATTTCCTGCTCTTAGGCAACTATATGAGTCTACATTCAAAAATACAACCGGCTGCTATTAATATTTATATAGATATTACAAAATGTCTTACTTGTTACGGGTTCTTTATATTTTATATTAAGTGATTAACATCGGAATACTTGATAGATTAGAAAAACCATATCAGTTTATTGGATGTCAAGTAGGGCAAACATAAGAACTAAAAATGGCGCATACGTTTTTCCTCACACTAAATATCATTAATAATTTCTCAGTGTCACGAAGGCTAAAAATGCCAGTAATTTTCACATAGAATATTCAATAATTTGGCTATTTTCAAAAAATGTTAGTAAATAAAAAGTGTATCAAAGACTAACAAAGATGATATCAACCAATTTTTAATAAATAAATAAAAAAATCTTAAATAAGTAAAAACATGGGGTGTTTATTTTTAGTATTTCATTTGATGAATTGAGGGGGGTAAGTGAAACATCGGACACCAACAGACAAGTTTTTTTTCTTACTTTAAAAAAAAACTTTTCCTTAAAAATTCTAAATTTCTCAATAAATCCTTTTATTTTCCCCAAATAAGCAACAACAAAAAACTTCAGGAGAAAATGATTTTCAAATGGGGAGAAAGAATTTTCAAGAAAAATAATCGTAATTAAGAATTGGTGTACAGTGTACACTGTACCTCCTACTTTAGATACTTCTCCAGTAAAAAAGAATTTTCCCTTCATTTGTCTGAGAGACTCCAGGGAGAGACAAACAAGATGATGATTACTATTCAAAGGATAATTAGAGCTTATTTTATACAAGATTGAGTTACATTTCGGATCCATATTTTTAAGGATCTGGTTCAGAGACAATTCTTGTACGCTGATATCCACAAGAATAATTTAACACTTTTTGTATTTTGTTTTAATTACCCGATTATAAAAACTATTGTGGATTTAGATTAAGAAAAATTGTTTAAGCTACAATTCCTGTCGTATATAGTGAAGTTATTGAGAAGAAAATGCTGTTCTTCCAAGTCAGGGATAGTCAGGTCAGGGTTCTAAACAAAACATATAATAAGCACTAAGCAGGGGTATATATTTTCTTGGAAAGAAATCCCCCCTCTCCCCGGTCTCCAAAATCATTGCTTTAGAGAATAAAAATGACATATTTCATACCTGGAACAAACTATAAAAATAAATTTTATAATTTTTAAATTTAGTTCTAAAACTTTACTTAAATCTCCAATTTTTTAAATAAAGTGGCCTTTCCAGGTATTCAAAACAGAAGTATTTTGATGAATTTTACATATCATGGTTTATGGATCACGCGAAGTCTATATAAAGTTGTAAATCATTACAATAAAAATAAGAGAAAAATTTCGACAAAATAACTGATATTGTCTTTTTTGTTTTTGTTTTAGTTAAAATTTTCCACTTCTTTTGATATTCTCGATTACTATTTAAATTTTAAATTTCTTCTAATTAATTTAATTTCTTTAAGTTACTTTTGAACCGTTGCAGGCTCGAAAAGGGCGAAATTTTTTTAACAACCTGCTTGAGTAATTATATTTTTTAAATGCGTATTCATTAACACACCTTTAAGTTTTTAGCCTCAGTAGAGGCTGAGTCTGGTGGAAAATAATCGAGTATGTTATTAAAGTTCTGGCCGCAAACTCGACACTTCGATCCAGTATTCTTCTTTGGTGTCGAGGTCCCGTCTTCTGAACATATTTTTATTCAACAACAGCTCGAATTATTTTTGGATTTATCCTTTTATTGAAGCTTAATTGCAAGTTTTGAATGAGTATCGATATTTTTCAAAAAAACCCTCCCCCCCTTAATGATTTTTGATGGTGAAAAAAAATAAAAACTTGACATTAAAAGAAGACTTTTTTCCATCTGTTTAAAACTTATACCCCAAAATTCATTATATTTTCCCCAATTCTGTGAAAAACTCAAAATATATATATTCGGAGGGAAAAGGAATTTAAAATAGATAGGGGGGAAGCAAAATGATTTTTCGAGAAAATATACACCCCTGAACGGTGTTGAAAGTGTACTGCAATTACTGGGAGGTAAGTAAACCTCAGTGCTGCTAGGGCACAGCCTTGTTCATATTCCATGCAGAAACTACAGTTGACATATTTGTATAAACATGGAGACTTCTTCCTTGATGGCGAAGAACTCATATGGGGTAATTTTGACTAGTTAGTTGTTATTTTCCCATTCAACGCCAACCTTTTTACATGTTTTCAGGAAAGTATATATATATATATACCCCTAGAATAAGGTGGACCATAATACATCCCTTCAACCAGAAACGAAAACTAATTACTCTCAATGTTTGCTTGATCTGTTACCTGGCCTAGTTTTTTTAAATGTCTCAGAATAGTCGACATGTTTTCGAGATCTTTTCTGTCCAGTTTTCAGGACCGGTTCAGAGTCAGAGGAACTAAATAAAAAATGTGAAAATTTCCTGATATTTTCTTGGGGGGGGGGGGGCGATCGTCTCATCCCCCCTCCCTGGCGGGGGGGATGTCTTACAAGCCCCCATCTCTAATATCAAGAGATTTCCCTTCCAATGTTTCCTGATCATTTTTTTTCTCATGCTTCTGGTTTCTTGTTTCTACACTTTGAAGCCTCTCCAAATAGTTTTTTTGACATCGAGTTGTGGAGCAGGTAGGAGAGAAGGAGGTTTGAAGGAGGAAAGGTATTTTATTCAATATTCTTGTGAAACAATAAATTAATAAGGAAATGAACAGTTTTCCTTCTATAAAAAGTAATAGATCTTAAAAATAAAATAGATTATGTAAGTTTAGTTCAGACGTATGGGTGGGGTTGTAGTAGGGTTAGAAGTAAAATCATGATTTGAAGTCAATTAAAAATCGTAAAATCACGCTGCGAGATAAAACTTCAATGAAATTTTGTTCCGATAAGTTTTAGCGAGAGATAAAAACTTACCTCTCTGAGTCTAAACTAGCAGAGTAAAGACTACTGCTAGTTGTTGTAGTTGTAGCAGTTTTTTCACCAATCTCAGAATCATCGTCGTCGGATAGATCGATACACTCTACATCAGAGTCTATCAACGTTGGATTGATATACTCCTTCTTGACTACACAACTCTGAACAATCATGGGTAAAAACAATTAAACAGTTTAAGTCTTTATAGTATGCCTGGCAACTCAACATATTATTCATGTATTGGATAAAAACACTAAGAAATCAAAATATTAAGTGTTAAGTTGGAAGAAAAGGTAATAATATTAGCAAAAAAGAAACCCAAGATATAAGAAAGTTATGAGATTAAAGACGAATGGACGAAGTCAATGGAAATTAAGTCCGTGTTTGTTCAGCTTTGAAGCCTGAAGTTATTTATTAAATTATATTGAAAAATTGCTTTTTTAAAAACCATTTACCTATAAATATTTTGCCCTTCTTGAATAATAAGGTGGGTAATTTTCTAGAGACGGATTTATGGTCCCCAGACCCCCCCCCCCTTTGTTAAAAATGTTCATTTTTAAAGAGTGACTTGTAGTCTGAGATCCCGGCCCCTAGTACGTCTTAGCCGCAGCGCTCGGTCCATAAATAGCCTTAATTCCTAACCTAACCCTGGAATTATACAAAATATTTCACAAACTTTTTGTTGAAGGGTCTTAAAATATATCTCTAGGATTGAACCACAAATTTAAATGATACGTTTAAAAAGAATCTATATATATAAAGTAGTAATCTCTGTTTGTCCGATCATAACTCAGAAACCCCTTAACCGATTTGCCTCAAACTTTGACCAAAGAACTCGGAAGATTGCGGGGGTCCGTTCTATTAAACCATTTTTGGAATCTCCTACTATCAATTTTGACCACTTTTTTCAGCTACATAAATTTCTGGGCCGAGCGTGCGGCTAGGGGGCCAAGCGCCGCGGCCAGGACAGTCAAGGGAGCAGGGCGCTGCTGCCACATGATCAATTATTTTCATGTGTTACATACGAGATCCATGAACAAAATTGATAGGAGGGGGCCGGGAGGGGGTCCAAAAAATTTTCTCTGGGAAATAACCGATTGCAGGAAAGTTCTTAGGTTGGTTCAAAACCGTCCTAGAGAACTACTTTTGGCCCCCCCCCCCCCCCGTAATTCCCCCCTCTATCAATTTTGTACATGACCACTTAATTATCATTTTATAGCAAAATTATTATTATTGATTTATTATTTTAGGTTAGGTTCAGACAATTTCTGGGCCGAGGGCTGCGGCTAGGACTTGCAAGGGGGCCGAGCGCCACGGCTAGGACAGGCTAGGGGGCCGGGCTTTGCGGCCACATAATCAATCATATCCGTGTACAAAATTGATAGGAGAGGGGAGGGCCCGGGGGGAGGGGTCTAGAAATAGTTCTCTGGAAAAATACCAAAAAAGCTGGGCTCCCAAGCTAGTACTGTTCAAAAAGTTTAACTGAGCGGTAAAACATAAAAAATTACCTCTAAGGAGGATCCGTCATCATCGCTTGGATTAGAATCCTCCATTCTAGCCTCTAGGTATGGAAAAGACAGAAATCTTTAAATCTGAAATGGAGTGTCAAGTTGTCAACATACGGATTAGTGCATAGTAAAGTTTCTGTCCTAGACCCTTTGTTGCTGCATGTTTTCTCTTAATTTAACATTTTTCGCTTCGTTTCTGAGATTGTGAGGTACTTCGCGAAAAATGAAGAATTAGTGTACAAGCATGTCTTTATGCGACCAGGGACTCAAGCATGTCCGAGTTTGCCAAGAACGATTATAACTAAGAACAACTGACAACACTTTCCGTACATCCAGAGAGAGAGGTGCTCCTAAAACCGATGAGACTGCGTGCTGAACAGGCTGCACACCAAACAAATAAACGATAGTCCAGTCTGGAGTTAGAAGCACCCCTCTCTGCGAAGTACTTACCCTTGACCGCTTGTGATCGATACTCACTCAGCTTAATAACTTACTTTTCGTGAAATTTAATTTTTAACAAACAAAATAAAAAATTTAAGCCCCTAGGACGTGATCAACGTTTATTTCCATATGCATCAATAGGCGAGCATCCTAAATATACATTTCGCGGTTCGCCATGCCTTTCCACCGAAATCATCATTTTTCGCTTCGTTTTTGAGATTGTGAGGTACTTCGCGAAAAATGAAGAATTCGGTGTACAAGCATGTCTTTTGGCGACCCGGGACTCAAGCACTCAAAAATCTGCAATAAAAATATTCTTTTGATCTCGTAATCTGGAGTAACATTTCTTTGATCACATAATCTGGAGTAAACATTTTTTAAATCTCATAATCTGGAGGAAATATATCTTTAACCCCATACTACAGGTTTATAGGATTCAAGAATATGTTAACTACAGGTTTATAGGATTCAAGAATATGTTTACTACAGGTTTATAGGATTCAAGAATATGTTCACTACAGGTTTAGTCGCATTTCGCCATGCCTTTCCACCGAAATCATCACACATTCACTAAACGCTCGTTTGCCGCGTCAGTATATATTCGAGAACGCAACAAAATATCTCGTCTTCGCTACACTCTACAAGGAGGTTACGATGGCGTATTTCGCGGCCTACGCCAAATCCGCTATACTACACATCCGACCTACAGAGCGTCCCATATCATATTAGATTATCTCCAATCTCCAATCGTAATTTAGACCCGTTCTCGGTCTAATATGATGTGGGACACCCTGTACTAAAACGTGGTTTTACAGCTGCTATATGGACTGTGACCGCGGCGCCCGGCCCCCTTTAGCCATGTCCTAGCAGCGGCGCTTGGCCCTCTTGTAGCTGCACCTTATAGCCATAGCGCTTTGCCCAGAAATCTTAATCCAACCTAACCCTCAAATAATCTAAAAATAAACAGCTGGCGTAGGTCCGATAATGCAGTAGGACGGAAAGTTAGTAGGTCAGAAGTTAGGTGGGGGGGTCGATGTTGCGTATAGACAATGTACAGGGTGTCCCAAAAAACATGGGAATTCAGTGACGAATTCGATATCGTCTTTGTTATGAATTAGCATTGTGTTACCTAATTTTAAAAGCCATATATTATTATGTCTGCTAGAGTTTATTTTATGAAAAGGATAAAAGACTGTAAATATGTGTCTATAATGTCTCCGCAAGATGAACTGCAGTGAATACGGACAAGTTTACTCTGTTTGTATACTGCAATTTTCTTGTTTTACTAAGTACAACCTATAATTGCAGTCAAAACATAATTACAAACAAAATGTGAACATACAGGGTGTCCCACATCATATTAGACCGTCAACGGGTCTAAATTGCGATTTTCGGGACTAATAAGAAAATTTAATTCGAATAAATCAAGTTGAAAAATAACATAAGGCTTATATAAGAATTTTCTTGCAGAAAATGATAAGTTCTTCGAGTATTAAGGGTTTATTTTGGTTGGAGATAATCTAATATGATATGGGACGCTCTGTAGCAGACGAAACTCTTACAGATTACAGCTTTCTCAGTAGGTATCAGTATACTAAATCAAAGAATTAGTTAAAAAGACAATATCGAATTCGTCACTGAATTCCCATGTTTTTTGGGACACCCTGTAACATTACCGGAGGTTTAGTAATTTATAACATGGTTTGGTTCCTCTAGCGTATAAGTAAACTGCTGTCCGAACAATCTGAAAGTTTATGATTAAATGTCAATGGTAGAAATGAAGTATCCGTGGACGATTGGGGTTGGGGGAGGGGGAAGGGGAAGGGATAACCGTGCCACTTGCAGCTACAACATATCCGCGTTGACCAACACGCGGATTAATACTGGCAATGAGTTGACCGCGCAATTCCCACCTACACCCCCCCCCCCTCCCACTCCCCCTCACCTTCCTCAGCCTTTTTTTCTGCAAGGGGAGTGTTCGCCAAACACCGTGAGGGTGAGCCTTAAGAATGATAGTAAAGGGTGAACCCGAAGAGCATGGTACAGCTTGTGAACCCGAAGAATCAGTATGTGGTACAGGGAGAACCAGGAGAATGAGTATGAAGAGGAAGTCTGAAGAATTTGAATGGTACAGGGTGAACTTTAGTAAATAAGTATGGTATCCGAACGAACCTGAATAAATTGTGTAGTGTAAAGGGTGAACCTGAAGAAAGTGCAGTGTACAAGGGAACCAGGAGAATGAGTATGGTACAGGGTAAACCTGAAAAAGTGCAGTTTACAAGGGAACCAGGAGAATGAGTATGGTACAGGGTGAACCTAAATAAAGTGTTAATTGTACAAGGGAACCTGGAGAATATGTATGGTACAGGGTGAACCTAAATAAAGTGTTAATTGTACAAGGGAACCTGGAGAATAAGTTTGGTACAGTGTGAACCTTAAGAAAGTGTATTGTACAAGGGAACCTGGAGAATGAGTATGGTACAGGGTGAACCTAATGAAAGTGTATTGTACAAGGAAACCTGGAGAATGAATATGGTACAAACCAAAAAAAAAAAGATAAAGTTTAATGCAGTCAAACTGTCGGAAGGCAGTTTTGTTGTAGCTTAATATCTAGTGGCCCTGTATTCTGGTATTCTGAGACACCCTGTTATTGATTGAGTTTGCAGATTGGCGTATTTCTTAATGAATGCAATGACCCGAGCTAACTTAACCCTTTCATATGTAATCAACTTTCTCTTTGAATATTTTTTTCCTTCTTCATGCAATTTACTTCACAAATATTTTTTTTCTCTATAACAGAATCAAAAACTAATTCTTTCTTTTATTCCGTACAGAAACTGTATATTCCGTACAGAAACTGTATATTCCGTACAGAAACTGTAACAAATATCTCTTTCCTGTAGCCTAGTAAGCTCTGGTGCGGTTGTTGTATTATGATTTTTAAATATTTTTAATTTGAGCTTAATTTATCGCTATTTAAAAAAATGTTTGACTTCATTCAATTAGATCCATACATTGCCATTCTTCTTAAACATTGAAATTAAACCCCCTTTNCCCCCTCCTGTTTCTCCACATCTTCGGCAGAGAAACTAAGCTCCCTTCCCTCCTCTCTAGTAATACTCATTACATATGCAACAGTGCAACACCACCATCCCCCCGTATTTATATTTTCTCTTTTCTACTTTCTATTTCCTTATCTTTCTTTGAGAGTTATTTGTTCATTTTACTACTTTTCTATATTTACACATATTATACCTTTGATCGGTCTTCACAAAGATGGTTTCTACAAGGATGGTTTCTACAAGAATGGTTTTAAAAGGATGTTGCTACAAGGATGGTTTCTACAAGAACAGACTAACAGTTTCTACAGGGATGGTTTCTACAAGGATGGTTTCTACAAGGATGGTTTCTACAAGAATGGTTTTAAGAGGAATGTTTCTACAAAGATGGTTCCTACAAGGATGATTTCTACAAGGATGATTTCTACATGGATGGTTTCCACAAGGATGGTTTCTACAACGATGGTTTCAACTAGGTTTTTTTAATACAGGGATGGTGTCTACAAATATGGTTCCTACAAGGATGGTTTCTACAAGGAATGGTTTCTACAAGGATGGTTTCTAAAAGAATGATTTCCACAAGAACAGTTTCTACAAGGATAGTTTCTACGAGGATGGTTTATACAAAGATAGTTTCTACAAGGATTGTTTCTACAAGGATGGTTTCCACAAGGATGGTTTCTACTATGATGGTTTCTACAGGAATGGTTTCTACAAGTATGGTTTCTACTAGGATGGTTTCTACAAGGATGGTTTCTACAAGGATTGTTTCTACAAGGATGGTTTCTACAAGGATGGTTTCTACAAGGATGGTTTTCACAAGGATGGTTTCTACTAGGATGGTTTCCACTGAGAGAGTTTCTACAAGGATGGTTTCTACAAGGATGATTTCTACAGGGATGGTTTCTACAAGGATGGTTCCAACAAGGAAGGTTTCTACAAGGATGGTTTCTATCAGGATGGTTTCTACAAGGATGGTTTCTGCAGGATGGTTTCTACTTAAAGATGGTTTCTACAGGGATGGTTTCTACAAGGATGGTCCTTACGAGGATGGTTTCTACAAGGATTGGTTCTACAAGGATGGTTTCTACAAGGATGGTTTCTACAAGGATTGTTTCTACAAGTATGGTTTCTACAAGAATGATTTCTACAAGAACAGTTTCAATGAGAACGGTTTCTACTAGGATGTTTTCTACAAGAATAATTTCTTTAAGGATATATTCTACAAGATTGGTTTCTACACGGATGGTTTCTATAAGGATGGTATCTAAAATAATGGTTTTTACAAGGGTTGGTTCTACAAGGATGGTTTCTGCCATGATTTTTTAAAAGTAAGGTTTCTATATGGATGGTTTCTAACAGGATGGTTTCTAAAAGGATGGTTTTTAAAAAGATGTTTTCTACAAGGATGGCTTCCACAAGAAAGGTTTCTAAAAGGATTGTTTCTAAAAGGATGGTTTCTTCAATGGTTTCTAAAAGGATGGTTTCTAAAAGGATGGTTTCTACTAGGATGGTTTCTACAAGGAAGGTATCTACAAGAACAGTTTCTACTAGGATGGTTTCTGCAAGGATGGTTTCAACTAGTATGGTTTCTACAAAGATGGT